GCTCCATGGCAGCAGGTGCAGGACACGCACAACAACACGCACAACAACACGCCGGGCATGCTCCAAACACGCCACGAATTCATCAACTGCTGCTGAGGCGGCAGGTTCAGGGCCACAGCACATGTTCCTAAATGTGGAACGGATACTGCAGGTGCACTTCTCAGCCAGGCTGAAGGAGAGCGTGTGTGTGTGTGTGTGTGTGTGTGTGTGTGCGTGTGTGTGCGTGTGTGTCATTCAAACAGCTGTAGGCTAAATGCTAACACATTGGACCATTGAGTCAAATACTGTATTTTCTGTTTTAGAAATCGATACTCAGAGTGAGGATTAAAGTGTTAATCGTGGCGTGAGAGACGGATTGAGTCCATGTGTGTGTGCGAGGCCTCCTGCTGGGTGCACGGATCTCACAGTGGCCATGAGACACCTCAGAGCAGAGGACAGGGGGCCGGGTGGGGGGCTCTGTTTGGTCAGTAGCAGCTGAACTCGGAGGGATGAAAACAGACAGAATCCCGACGAGGTCGCCGATCAATATCTGTAGAGACGTTAAACTCTGAGCCAAATCAGAAAATGTGCCCCCCCCCCCCCCTTAGATGCTGTTAGATTCCCCTTTGGAGTATTGGCCTCCACTCAATGATTCATTATTAACAGAAATGAAATTTAACGATAAAACAGTAGTCGTCCTCTTTGTCATCTGAACAGTGTGATACGTAATCAGCAGATTGAAACCCGTCGTTTCTTTATCGAGCATCGGCCTTCAATCAGCGCTTTGTGTGATGTCTTCTTTCCACGTGTCCCTGTTATGAGCGCTGGGCCTGCATGAAGTGCTTTTAGTGCTGTTGTAGATAAAATGAAGTAAGCGACGGAGCTCGGCTCGGCCACATTGCTACTGTTATTATTAGACCTCCGGTGACCCCCGGTGACCCCCGGTGACCTCCAGCGCTGCTGTAAATACGTCACCACAGCGTGGAAGTGGTTTTCTGACAGGGATCGTTTGGACTTTATCGTTTCTATTGGTGGTTTGTGGTGTTTGTGTGTGTGTTTGGATACGGATCTTAAGAACAGAAGCAAACACTGGATTTATGGCTTGGTTCTAATCTTGGATTTGAGATTCTGAAGAGAAGAAAGAAAACGCTCATGAATATCAGGATGCGTTGTTGGACGTGTACTCGATATTCCAGAGGTCGCTTCTGGAAGCTCCTTCTCTCCCTCGGGAAACTGGGATGATTTTCTTTATCCTTATTTATTCACAAAGTTGTTTTTTTTAGGTCCTTAATTCACCAACTTTTTAATAAGGCTCCTCGCTTCTCCTGTCGTTGCACATTTGGCCGTCTTTGTGAATATTAGATTAATAGCAATTTAAAAGCAGCAGGTTGGAAGCGCAGCGGCTTTAATTAGCGCAGTTTACATGTTGAAGGTCCTGGAGGGTCAGCGGAGGGGAGGCGGGACGTCCCGCTGAGGCCGAGCCCCCTCCTGACCGTGTCCTCGGCTGATTGGACGAGCCCAGACGCTATGAAAACAGGACGTTTGATTCGTTCAAACTGCTTTAACCACGTCGTGGATTCACCGTTCACTCCAGAAAGGTCCTTTGTGTTGCCTCGCTGTATTCGTATGATGACAATGAAGCCTGAACAATACTACAGCAAAACAATGTCGACACAGCAATATTCAACTTGTCACTGCAATGAATAAATATTTCCACAGGATTTGTACTTTCGTTATTCACATTTTTTCCATCTTTGTGGAACCAACGAGGTTCAATGAAGACTCGGTACGTCTTCGGGGAGGCAGTTCTGGTCGAGGTGGGCAGCAAGTTATGAGATCTCAAATGGGAGAAAAATAGAAATAAAACACAAGTAAACGGAGAAAGACAGTAAAAGAAAATACAAAAGAAAATGGGGACAGACGCGGAAATAAAACACCAAAATATGCAGAAATCAGAGGCTAAAAGAATCATCTCACATTGGAACATCTTGACAACCACAATATTGTTCAGAAAAACATGTGAAGAAAGAGGAAAGTTCAAGATTATTTAGAGAATATTACAAAACGAACTAGACTAAAGGGGCGCGGATGAGATACTACCACAGTTCATGTAATCAGTGTCTCCGTGTCCTTTCGTCTCCAGGGGGACGACTGCTCAGTCCGCTGCCCTGCAGGCCTCTACGGGACCAACTGCAGCTCCTCGTGCTCCTGCCGCCACGCCGCCTCCTGCTCGCACCTGGACGGCTCCTGCGTCTGCACGGAAGGTTCTACGCTCATCTCCTCTCAGATTTCACTCGCGGCTTCTAATTTGCACAAAACAGATCAAATCTCAGACTTTGGGGCAATTTTTTGAGGAAATGTGCAACTTCTTCAACTTCTTTTCATCTCTGACCCGCTTGTTCCTCAGGTCGATAGTTTCAATTTCATCCCACTTCATAAAGTCACCTGTGGAACCCACGATTTACATTATATATATATATATATATATATATATATATAGATGTATCCTCTATCCTCAGTTTTTACCCTTTACTCTCCGCTTCACCTCCTTAATATCTCTCAATAAAAGCATCCTTAAATATTAATGCCCTGGTGGGGTAATTAAAGCGGAGAGACATCTGAGAGCTCCGGCAGGAAGAAGTGGGCGTCGGTCTTCACCCCGACGTCCTTTTCCTTCAGAGCGGGGAAGTTATCCTGCAGAAGTTCAGGCTGATTAAAGAGCTTCATCACACACGTGTTGTCCGTGTCGAGCAAACATCTGACAATTCGTGCAGCTCAACACACTTTCAGGACTTCTTCCTTAAGAGGCACGAGGCCCGGGGGGTCCCGCAGCCCTGCTATCAAAAGGAATTTTGTCATTTCTTCAAAAGAAAGAGGGGAAATCAGGACACTCAGTCGTGCAATTTGTTATGTAAATTCCAAGTATCAATGTTTTAGCACTTGTTGCTTTCTTTTGGATAATAGCCAGTAATAACTGACACAAAACCCAGAAATTTGTTTTCTGGGGCTTAACTTCTTTATGAGTAAAGTTTAATGTTTGCTCACTGTCAGTTTTGTCCTCAAACGAAGGGGTTTAAATAATGTTTTACAACAAAAAACTGTAGATGTTACAAAGCTGCATTCTGTGTAGTGACCAGCAGGGGGCGACTCCTCTGCTCCCATAGACGTCTATGAGGAAATGACTCTACTTCTCTCGTGATTTATTCCCTCAGTAAACATTGTAAACATGAGTTTATGGTCTCAGTCTCTAGTTTAAAGTCTTATTCAACACGACATGATGTTCATTTAGTGATTTATGGTCCATTTAGAGTCAAACAGACCATAAAGCAGGGGACACTTTGGGGCGGGGCTACACACTGATTGACATCTCTTTACCAAGACACCTACACACTTCTCTACTTCCTCCTCCTCAGTCCACACATTTTTTATTTCTTTTTCACTGGTTGAAAAAAAAACAAGATGGTGACATCGTTCAAAACGTCCACAAAGCAGTTGAGTGACGTCACCATGACTACGTTCACCCCTACATACAGTCTGCGTCTAAAGAGCCGCAGATTGTCATCAATTCATTTATAGTTGTTCCCAGATCTCAGGAAGTACTCGGACGGTTACTTCATCAGAAATCTATCAATGCGAGTTGTGATGACTGTCGTTCCTTTGACCCGTCCGTGTCCTTTGGACTGTGTCCCCGTCCAGGTTGGCAGGGGGTGGACTGCTCCCTTCCTTGCTCCAGTGGCACCTGGGGTCCCAGCTGCAACCAGACGTGCCAGTGCTCCAATGCGGCGGCCTGCGACCCCGTCAACGGCACCTGCGCCTGCTCCCCAGGCTGGAGGGACGAGTACTGCGACCTGCCCTGCCCCGTAAGTGGCGTGCAGCCCGCCATCCATCTCCGGACCTTTCCAGCGGACCTTCCCTAACAATGGTCTCCCTCTCCAGGAGGGGTCGTACGGACTGGACTGCGGGGAGAGGTGCGACTGCGTCAACGCCGACGGCTGCGACCCGGTGAGCGGATTCTGCCGCTGCGCCGCGGGCTGGACAGGTGGGTCCCGGAGGAGACCGGAGAGGAGGGGCGGGTCCATCGTGTGGGGGACCGGGTCACTCAGAGACACTCTGCTCATTGGACGGAGTCAAGTGACTTCTTCTTGGGAAGAAGGAGGATTGAGCCAAATTTACTGCGACTGCGATCCATTAAATGACCACATGGGGCAGTGAGAGCCAATCAACGCACAGAGCTCCAAATGGAATATTTCAATACGGTGGAATATTCCCCCAGGATCCTCTCTGTTGTCTTTAGAGCCGCTCTGACGCACTTGGACATCACGTTCTTATGAATGCGAGGTGTCGCCGCTCGCTAAACTCCACGGCGAAGTGTTCCGCTGCGAATTTACATTTGTTCTGCTTACGTACCTCCTCCACCCCTCCTCCTCCTCCACCTCCTCTGTTGTAACTACACCGCCTCATTTTCACCCACTCTAAGGCTCAGAGGTACTTTATTAATTGAGTTATAATGGCTGCCTGTGCCCCACTCTCGTATTCTCTCATTATCCACGTCAAAGGAAGTTTCTAATGAGCAGCGGATCCGCTGGTCTGCAGGGGGGGGGTGGAGGAGGAGGGTGGAGGAGGAGGGGGGGGGGGCACTGTATTTGCACATGCATTATTCTTACTCCGTCCTTCTGCTTTTCATATATCCCTGCGTGGACGTGAGTGTAACTAACAATGAATTTAATGTGCGTGTCTGCAGACCGTCCCCTGTGAGCACTGAGGGCACACACACACTCACACACACACTCACTCACACACACACACACACACACACACACCCACTCACACAGTCACTCACACACGCATACACTCACACATGCAAGACTGATGAAAGAAAGAGACACTTCAGCAGATCATTAAAAGGCAAAACGTCTCATTGGGTTAATTTGACAGAAAAAGCTTGTTTGTTTTCTAAAAACACAGATTATGTGTTTAAACACGGTTAAAGGTTCAGGATTCAGATTAAATTCAGATTAAATTAGTTTAGTCTTTTACGTGACACACAGTTCACATTTCAGCAAAGATGTTGTTTTCTACTGTTCTACTATTAAAAGACAGAGAAAATGAAAGGAGGCATTATGTTTTCAGGGCTGGGTTTATTGAACGTACACATATTACAAAGAAAGAAAAAAGTGAACATCATGCTGCATCATGTTGTAGAAAACTTGAAAGACTGAGACCATAAACTCGTGTTTACAACGTTTACTGAGGGAATAAATCCAGAGAGAAGTAGAGTCATTTCCTCATAGACGTCTATGGGAGCAGAGGAGTCGCCCCCTGCTGGTCACTACAGAGAAGTAGAGTCATTTCCTCATAGACGTCTATGGGAGCAGAGGAGTCGCCCCCTGCTGGTCACTGCACAGAATGCAGCGTAAATGGTCTAATCAATATGATGCATCCGGCTTTGATACACTTTATACATTTGAGTTGATACATCCACTTATTTCTTGCCAGTGAGAATTCAATATAATATTGAGGCTATATTACAGCTGTTTCCTTAGATACATTGTCTCTGTCACATCTGTCCTTCACCCAACCCCCCTCCTCCCCTCCTCTGCCCCCCCTCCTTTCCTCCTCCCCTCCTCTGCCCCCCCTCCTCCCCCCCTCCTCTGCCTCTCGCTAATCTTATTTCTTTGCATCATTCTCTCTCCTTCAAGTTCAAGTGACACATCTGAAACCTCTGTGAAGTCAGTTCGACTTCACTTAAAAAGCCGGGTAGCTGAGAACAAAGCCCACTTAAAGCTCTGTGTGCGTGTGCGTGCGTGCGTGTGTGTGTGTGTGTGTCTGCCGGTGTGTGTTTTCTGCAGGTGTCCATTGCGACAGTGTGTGTGAGGAGGGCCGCTGGGGACCCAACTGCTCCATCAGCTGCACTTGTGAGAACGGAGGCTCCTGCTCCCCAGAGGATGGATCCTGTGTGTGTGCGCCTGGATACCGCGGCACCAACTGCAGAAGAAGTAAAGGAACGCACACACACACACACACACACTGCAGTGCAGCGGAGGAGGTTGTGTGTGAAAGCTCTCCACAAGCAGTTCCATCATCTTTTGTCTGACACGAGGATTCCAGAGTTAGTTTGAAGCACATTTCAGCAGAAGCTCCATGAATATGAAAGTCTCTGGAGGTTTGACTCCGTGCTGACAGGAGGATTGCGGGTAGGGATGCTGAGGTCGGATAATAAGGTCCCACCCCCCCCCCGCAGTCCAGACACTGGTGGGGGGGCGGATGTTATTTCCTTGTATTTTCCGTGTTGAAGCCGTTCACAAAGCAGAACCGAGGGGATTTATTACCTCGATGGACTGTGTGTACCATCGGCCCCGATTAGACCTCCTCATAGAGGGGGGGGGGGTGGGCAGCTCCTTCAGTTGAATGCTTCCCACATTCGTCTGATGGGTCCCAGTGTGAATCCCGGGGGGGTCCAGGCTATGCGCTGTGGGAATCTTATTTCTGGATGTTGATAGATTAGTGATCCGCTTCCCCCTTGTAGATTTAAGGGCTTTCGCTTCACAGTTTAGCCAATTTTCTAAATTCGGAAGAATCCTTGCAAGGCCGGAGAGGTGAGGGGGGGGGGGGGGGGTTATGTAGCATATATATATACTGTATATGTGTGTGTGTATAGGTACAGGTGGAGGATATTTAGCTTTCATATATGTGTGCTTTATAAACTGAAATTGAGACTAAGTGGACCATGAAATCCATTATTGAAATGATCAAAGAACTAATCAGAGAACCAATCAGTTCCCTTCAGACTCTGAAATGGACTTTTCTCTCTGCCCCCCCCCTCCCCACTGTGTGTGTGTGCAGCCTGTTCGCCGGGTTTCTACGGACAGCGATGCGCCCGGTCCTGCCCTCAGTGCCTCTATAGCGACGGGGCGTGTCACCACGTCAGCGGCCACTGTGAATGTCTGTCGGGCTTCTTCGGCTCACTGTGCAATCAAGGTAAGTTTATCTTAACTTAAGATTCATTCAGTTTATCTTAACTTAAGATTCATTCAGTTTATCTTAACTTAAGATTCATTGAGTTTATCTGAACTTAAGGTTCATTAAGTTGATCTTATCTTAACTTAAGATTCATTCAGTTTATCTGAACTTAAGGTTCATTCAGTTTATCTGAACTTAAGGTTCATTCAGTTTATCTTAACTCAAGGTTCATTCAGTTTATCTTATCTGAACTTGAGGTTCATTCAGTTTATCTTAACTTAAGGTTCATTCAGTTTATCTTAACTTAAGGTTTATTCAGTTTATCTTAACTTAAGGTTCATTCAGTTTATCTTATCTTAACTTAAGGTTCATTCAGTTTATCTTAACTTAAGGTTCATTAAGTTGATCTTATCTTAACTTAAGGTTCATTCAGTTTATCTTAACTTAAGGTTCATTCAGTTTATCGTATCTTAACTTAAGGTTCATTCAGTTTATCTTAACTTAAGGTTCATTCAGTTTATCTTATCTTAACATAAGGTTCATTCAGCTTATCTTAACTTAAGGTTCATTAAGTTGATCTTATCTTAACTTAAGGTTCATTCAGTTTATCTTATCTTAACTTAAGGTTCATTCAGTTTATCTTAACTTAAGGTTCATTAAGTTGATCTTATCTTAACTTAAGGTTCATTCAGTTTATCGTATCTTAACTTAAGGTTCATTCAGTTTATCTTAACTTAAGGTTCATTCAGTTTATCTTAACTTAAGGTTTATTCAGTTTATCTTAACTCATTCAGTTTATCTGAACTTAAGGTTCATTAAGTTGATCTTATCTTAACTTAAGATTCATTCAGTTTATCTGAACTTAAGGTTCATTAAGTTGATCTTATCTTAACTTAAGATTCATTCAGTTTATCTGAACTTAAGGTTCATTCAGTTTATCTTAACTCAAGGTTCATTCAGTTTATCTTATCTGAACTTGAGGTTCATTCAGTTTATCTTAACTTAAGGTTCATTCAGTTTATCTTAACTTAAGATTCATTCAGTTTATCTGAACTTAAGGTTCATTAAGTTGATCTTATCTTAACTTAAGATTCATTCAGTTTATCTGAACTTAAGGTTCATTCAGTTTATCTTAACTCAAGGTTCATTCAGTTTATCTTATCTGAACTTGAGGTTCATTCAGTTTATCTTAACTTAAGGTTCATTCAGTTTATCTTAACTTAAGGTTTATTCAGTTTATCTTAACTTAAGGTTCATTCAGTTTATCTTATCTTAAGGTTCATTCAGTTTATCTTATCTTAACTTAAGGTTATTCAGTTGATCTTATCTTAACTTAAGGTTCATTCAGTTTATCTTATCTTAACTTAAGGTATTCAGTTGATCTTATCTTAACGTAAGGTTATTCAGTTGATCTTATCTTAACTTAAGGTTCATTCAGTTTATCGTATCTTAACTTAAGGTTCATTCAGTTTATCTTAACTTAAGGTTCATTCAGTTTATCGTATCTTAACTTAAGGTTCATTCAGTTTATCTTAACTTAAGGTTCATTCAGTTTATCTTATCTTAACTTAAGGTTCATTCAGTTTATCTTAACTTAAGGTTCATTAAGTTGATCTTATCTTAACTTAAGGTTCATTCAGTTTATCGTATCTTAACTTAAGGTTCATTCAGTTTATCTTAACTTAAGGTTTATTCAGTTTATCTTAACTTAAGGTTCATTCAGTTTATCTTATCTTAAGGTTCATTCAGTTTATCTTATCTTAACTTAAGGTTATTCAGTTGATCTTATCTTAACTTAAGGTTTGTTTAGTTGATCTTAACTTAAGGTTCATTCAGTTTATCTTATCTTAAGGTTCATTCAGTTGATCTTATCTTAACTTAAGGTTCATTCAGTTTATCTTATCTTAACTTAAGGTTTGTTTAGTTGATCTTAACTTAAGGTTATTCAGTTGATCTTATCTTAACTTAAGGTTCATTCAGTTTATCGTACCTTTACTTAAGGTTTGTTTAGTGGCGCACAAAGTTATCCTCCTCTGTCCTCTGTCCTCTCTCTGTCTGTCCTCCTGTCCTCTATCACCAGAGGTAATGTATCAGATGGAGTGGACGGTGGGGGGGGGGGCGGTTAGAGCTTTGTGGTGACCAACTATTCTCATCCTCCTCACAGATGTACCGTTCGCTCCTCTGATCAAACTCCCACAGAGCAGTCAGACCCCCCCCCCCCCCCCCCCCGCTCCCTCTAACACCTCTAATTAAATTCAGGTTTAGAACTGGAGAAAAAAGCAAAGCACTCGTGTCTACATCTCATTCTGCGGCCCTTGACCCCCCTCACCTCCTCCCCTACCAAAGGTCCCCCCCCCCCCACCTCATTATTTCAGAGTGGCTTCAGCTCCTGGGGGGTCAAACAGGTGTTGATTCTCCGATTGGAGGATCCTGAGCGGCGAGTGCGGTGAAATATTCATCGCCATTAAACATGAAGACCGTGTCCCGCATCGTCCATTCTGCTGCTCGCTGCGTCTTTGGGGGGGGGGGCGTCCTTTTCTACGACGGCCGCTCAGCTCTCGTTGCCTCCTCAGGCGCTCGTACGTGAGAGGAAACAATAACACATGATGATGACAAAAATAAGTCTTTAAATCAACCTTTTCAAACGAAACAGAAAGAGGAAGTTTCTTCCCACATTAAGTCGCTGAGACCCTTCGGGAACTTAGTTTACAGCTTCATTAAAGGTGCCGTGTTGTTTTAATTGATTTTTGTTTATTGTTTAATTCATCTTTTTGTTTAATCTATATTGAGGTGCAGATTGTACCTGAAAAAATTGAATTTCGCGGATGAGCCGACGCGAACGGTCATGACTGCAGGGTTGTAACGTGGCTCTGGAGCGGGACGCCGCGGCCGGTGGAAAGCGCTCAGAGACATTTGGGTTGGAACAAGTGCAAAACGTGTAGAGTCGGTGGAGAAGGAGTCATCGTCTGGACCCGAGAGCTGCAGACTAATTGTCTCCTGCAGCTCATCGGGGGGGGGGGGGGGGGCGTCCCAACAGTCTGCTAATTACTTCCACGCGTCCCTTTGATCCAGACCTTACACACACCACTCACACGTTGGCCGCGGTTACGTAAGAGGAGGGACTTCATTAAAGCGTTATAATGATCTTTATTGCTCCAACCGCTGGGGAAGATTCTCCGTCCTACTCTAATGAAGACCATACGTTGTGTGCAACAGCTGGAATGTGCTGATGAAATGTGAATGAGCGGAGAAGAGTAATGTAAAGTAATGAACATCTACATGAACTTTACATCTATATATGAAACAGCAGCACGTGTTCGTAATGTTTAAAGAGGACGAGCATCAGAGTCACGATCACGCAAACATCCTTAAAATCAGTGTAACAAATGTGCCTCACAGACAACATCCTCCGACCTTTGACCCTCCATCAGCGCAGCACAACTCCTCATGGCGAGTGGCAAAGGAGGGATATAATATATATAATACCTCGTAACCCTCCATTGGGATGAAAGCAGCAGTGAGTCAGTAATATTAATGTGACTTCTTCTACTGATGACGACAGCAGCAGTGCAACAACCACCGTGCAGATGTTAACACATCTGTCTTATGCAGGTCCCCGTTCACTCTGAATAGGGTGACGTCATCAGTTGCAGTCCGTATTTATTTCGTCTGTATCACTACGAATTTGTATCTTCAAGATCTTCGTACACATTTTTACCAACAGGTTTTGGAGATCAGGCCGGTCTTATTGCAGAACGCTTTCATCTCCATGAACTCACAGGCTTCAGTTCAGACCGAACTAACCGCTGAAGAGGAGCAGCTTGTCCTCTCCTTCTAATTGGCAATAATCAAAAAGCCCCCGAGCGCATCCACCAGTGATGTCGCTGTGCGACTGCGTCCACGCAGCCGAACATGAAAACAAGTACAAGCATCACATCCTGAAGCTTCCTGGCACGATCAACAAGTTCTTCTCCCTTTGGTGCTGCGTTCTGCACGGACTCTAATCACATTAAGAACAATCAGAACAGAGATTCATCTCCATGTTTCATGATTGCACATCGCAAAAAACAGCTAGTGAATCAAATTAAAGATACTGTAGGTGCAGCGATAATAGATTAGATTAGATTAGATTCAACTTTATTGTCACTGCACAGGCAACGAAATGCAGTTTAACATCCAACCAGAAGTGCAAAATAGCAAAAAGTGCAGAGTGTGTGCATATGTGAAGTGTAATAAGTGAATAAATAGATATGTACAGTAAGAAATAGTTGTGCAATATGAACAGTAAGAAATGGATATACAATAACAGTGCAGATGTTCAGTGGCTGGAGGAGGTGTGTGTGGCAGTCAAGCCAGGGTGGAGGGGGGAAGTACGGTCACTGAGGGAGGTGTGTGTGTGGGGGGCAGAGTTCAGAGTTCAGGGGGGGCAGAGTTCAATAGAGTGACAGCCGCAGGGATGAAGGTGTTCCTGAACCTGCTGGTCCGGGAACGGAGCACCCTGTAGCGCCTCCCAGAGGGGAGGAGGGCAAACAGTCTGTGGCTGGGGTGAGAGCTGCGTGCCCCCCGCAGACATCTCTTGCTCTGGACGGCCTCGATGGTGGGGAGGGAGAAACCGGTGATGCGTTGGGCAGTTTTCACCACCCTCTGCAGTGGTTTACGGTCCGCGACAGAGCAGCTGCCGTACCGTACTGAGATGCAGTTTGTAAGGATGCTCTCTGTGGTACAGCGGTAGAAATCCTCTAGAATCTGAGGAGACAGATGGACCTTCTTCAGTCTCAGTCTCTTAATAGTGATTAATGTGAGTTTTGTGCTGCTTCCTGTTCACTCGAATCAAATCTCCTTTAGATGATTATCGTAGATTATCTCCCTCCTTTTATACTAACGGTTTCCTTCATTCTTGTCTCTCTCTCAGTGATTAGTTTGAAAAATACCAGCTGGAATCTCATCTATTTAAAAAGAAATTGCTGAAAATTAAGATTAATTTAATCTTCCCTTATTTAATGATTTTGTAGTGTTCCAAAAACAACTGATTACGACTACATGAGTCAAATTAAACAGATCTATTGATGACATTAAGTAGTTAGTAGTCAATTATTAGATTAAAATAGTAAATAATTTTTTAGTAATAATAATTTTAGTCCATAAAAATGTTTTTATCAAGAGAATAAAAAAAGTTACTTGAACTGATTTAACAACAATCTGTTAAAAGTTAAAATTATCTGCAAAAGAAATGTGACCAGAGATCTAAAAGAAATATTTTCTCCCGTTTTTTTTCTCCCGATCGAAGAAGCTTAATGATCCTTTGCATCGCTAACCTGCGTGTGTGTGTGTGTGTGCGTGTGCGTGTGTGTGTGTGCGTGTGTGTGGGTCTGCGTGTGCGTGTGTGTGTGTGTGTGTGTGGTCCTCACAGTGTGTCCCAGGGGGAGGTTCGGTAAGGCGTGTGCTGAGGCGTGTTCGTGCACCAACAACGGCTCGTGTGACCCGGTCGACGGCTCCTGTCAGTGCTTCCCCGGATGGATCGGCGGGGACTGCTCTAAACGTAACACGCCTCCTCTCTCTCTCTCTCTCTCGCTCACTTATCGACCACCCAGGTTGATCATGAACCAATCAGAGAAGACTCTGGGACCAAAATATTAAATGGTGTGTGTGTGTGTGTGTGTGTGTGTGTGTGTGTGTGTGTGTGTGTGTGTGTGTGTGTGTGTGTGTGTGTGCGTGCGTGTGTGTGTGGACAGCGTGTCCTCAGGGCTCATGGGGTCCAGACTGCATCCACACATGTAACTGTCACAACGGAGCCCAGTGCAGCGCCACGGACGGAGAGTGCGACTGCAGCCCGGGATGGACGGGACTCTTCTGCACTCAGCGTACGCGTCTCACACACACACACACACACACACGCACGCACACACGCACACGCACGCACACGCACGCACACACGTCCTCGGTCCTCGTTCTCACTTCTTGCCGTTTTGATCCTCTCATGCTTGCACCTCCATCTGCTGGCAGATAAAACTAACTACATCCTTAAAGATGATCCTTCCTTAGATTCCTTCATCCTTGCTGAGGGTTTCTGCTGCTCAAGTAGCTTCCTTGTATCCTACCCCGTATCTATCAATAATATATTTTCGGGGGGCCCCATTACCTCAAAGATCTCACAGTCAAGTCTGAAAAGTAAAAGCTTCATGTGCAAAAAAGCTGCATTCTGTGTGGTGACCAGCAGGGGGCGAATCCTCTGCTCCCATAGACGTCTATGAGGAAATGACTCTTGACTCTTCTCTCTTGATTTATTCCCTCAGTAAAGATTGTAAACATGAGTTTATCGTCTAGTCGTCTTGAAACTAGAGATAAACTAGTTTATCTCTAGTTTCAAGTCTTCTTCAACGCAGCATGATGTTATTTGGTTTCGTGCTACTGGTATTATGTAGTTATAAATGGCCAAAAAGCCAAGAAACAAACGTCGCCATGACTACGTCCACTTCTTATAATCAATGATTCAGAGCTGAAAAGAGCTGCAGGAATTAAATCTAAAGCCCAGAAAAGAGAACACATGAACACACTTTGCTGTTGTTGCTGTTGCTGAATTTGTTCCTATTGGATGTCTGCAACAATGTGTTTATTTAATAGTGAATTTAGAAGCTTTTACGTATCTTGAAGTGTAAACGAGCCGATATTCCCTCCTTTGTTTTTTTAGTTCACTTTTTTGTTTTTTCTGGGTGAACATCTCCTCACACTCTCCAGGCTAAATCTGCTTCACATGCAGGAAAAGGGTTTGGTTTAATCTGCCGATCCTGCGAGCCGCAGTGAAAGCTGCTGATCAGTGGCTCATCTCTGATGTGTGACCCCCCCCCCTTTCCAGGCTGCCCGGCCGGGTTCTACGGCTCCCGCTGTGCTGAAGTGTGCCGCTGTCAGAACGGGGCGGACTGCGACCACCTGGGCGGGCAGTGCTCCTGCAGGACGGGCTTCATGGGACAGAGCTGCGAGCTCAGTGAGTGTGTAACGTGATGTGTGCACTTTTACCGACTCACTTATTTATGCACTTAGGACACAAAGACAAAGAGGACAAAGGACAGAGGACCTCATTTACCTCTGACCTACTGACTTACTTATAGACTAAATAATGACCCCCCCCCCCCTTTGATCCAGAGTGTCCCGCCGGGACGTTCGGCTACGGCTGCCAGCAGCTGTGCGAGTGCATGAACAACGGAACCTGCGACTACGTGACGGGGACCTGCTACTGCAGCGCCGGCTTCAAGGGCATCCGCTGCGACCAGGGTAAGAGCGGCGGGGCGGGTTCGATGCCGCGTCCTTCTGCGGCTTACATGAGGACTGGTGGAAGCTGGAGATCCGGTGCTCACCTGCTCTCCGGTTCCCCTCAGCGGCTCTGATGATGGAGGAGCTGAACCCCTACACCAAGATCAGCCCGGCCCTGGCTTCGGAGCGCCAGTCGGCCGGCGCCGTCCTGGGCATCGTCTCCCTGCTGCTGCTCATCGTGGCCATGCTCGGCCTGGTGGTCTGGTTCCGGTACCGGCAGAGAGAGAAGGGCCACCAGGTGCCGAGCGTCGCCTACACGCCGGCGCTGCACGTCAACTCCACCGACTACTCGCTGTCAGGTAAAGATCGCAGGGCGCTCTTCTGTTTCCTTTATCCCTCCCAGCAGGCTGGACCCGCCCAACTACGACCGGAACCTGGTTCTGATTATTTGTTTAGTTTATAAAACGTGTAAAAGCAAAAACACAACAAACGATTTCAGAGAAAATCAGCAAATGATCACGTTTTAAGTGTTTGTCCTCTTCACGTGAACAAATCATCAGGTAAAGGAAATGTTCCTTTCCGGTTCCTCGTCTTGGTTCAAGCCGGCCCTCCTTTCTTTATAACCACCCAGTGTGACCTTGTGCGCCCTCGGGGTGCAGGGTGCTGTGTGTTGCCCTTGTGGGGGGGGGCGGTATAAGAAGGTGTGGTTGTGGTGACAGCAGGGCTGCAGTGCACTGGCCTGCTCTCCTCTCCAGAGTCCTCTCCCAGCAGCAGCTCCGTGGGCGGATGCTTCTCCAACCCCAGCTACCGGACCCTGGGCACCTGCAGCTACGCCGGCCACTACGCCCAGCCGGAGAGGAGGGGCGCCGCCAAGGTGGGTTCTGCTTGTTTCACGAGGGACACAACTTTATGGCGTCACGGCTTCCAGCGGTTTGCTTGAACTTGGGTGGGGAGGTTGGATATTGTCAGCAGCAACATGACGCTCTGCGTGGTCGTACAACTAGGAGCTACTCTTATAATACGATATATATACCATGAAATGAAGTTATGTCAAATGTAGAAAGATATGAACTTATGTACAGTTTAGATAAAACAAAATATTGTCCCTTCATAAAGTAATTGAACTGAACATTACAGATTTACACACATATAGTGTGAACATCGCTGTCCACAAATAGAAACGTATGGCTGAAAAAATGACCCAGCCTTGAAGTGACATAAACCTAGAGTACCTAGAATGCTCTACTTCCTGTAGCTCCTTTAGCTCCTCTCGTTCATCTAGTTCCTTAAGGTCCTCTATTTCCTGTAGCTCTACTTTCTGTAGTTTCTTTAGCTCCTCTAGTTCCTGTATCTGCTTTAGTTCCTCTCATTCCTGTAGCTCCTTTAGTTCGTTTAGTTCCTGTAGCTCTACTTCCTGTAGTTCCTTTAGCTCCTCTAGTTCCTGTATCTCATTTAGTTTCTCTAGTTCCTTTAGTTCCTCTCCTTCCTGTAGCTCTACTTCCTGTACCTCCTCTAGTTCCTTTAGTTCCTGGAGCTCTACTTCCGGTACCCCCTCTACTTCCTGTACCTCCTCTAGTTCCTCTACTTCCTGTAGCTCTACTTCCTGTAGCTCTACTTCCTGTACCCCCTCTAGTTCCTCTACTTCCTGTAGCTCTACTTCCTGTACCCCCTCTAGTTCTTCTACTTCCTGTAGCTCTACTTCCTGTACCTCCACTAGTTCCTGTAGCTCTACTTCCTGTAGTTCCTGTACCTCCTCTAGTTCCTCTACGTCCTGTAGCTCTACTTCCTGTACCTCCTCTAGTTCCTGTAGCTCTACTTCCTGTACCTCCTCTACTTCCTGTACCTCATCTAGTTCCTGTAGCTCTACTTCCTGTACCTCCTCTACTTCCCGTAGCTCTACTTCCTATACCCCCTTTAGTTCCTCTACTTCCTGTAGCTCTACTTCCTGTACCTCCAATACTTCCCGTAGCTCTACTTCCTGTACCCCCTCTAGTTCCTCTACTTCCCGTAGCTCTACTTGCTGTACCTCCTCTAGTTCCTGTAGCTCTACTTCCTGTAGTTCCTGTACCTCCTCTAGTTCCTCTACTTCCTGTAGCTCTACTTCCTGTACCTCCTCTACTTCCTGTAGCTCTACTTCCTGTAGTTCCTGTACCTCCTCTACTTCCTGTAGTTCCTTTATCTCCTCTAGTTCCTTTAGTCCCTGTACCTCCTCTACTTCCTGTAGCTCTACTTCCTGTAGTTCCTGTACCTCCTCTACTTCCTGTAGCTCTACTTCCCGTAGTTCCTGTACCTCCTCTACTTCCTGTAGTTCCTTTATCTCCTCTAGTTCCTTTAGTCCCTGTACCTCCTCTACTTCCTGTAGCTCTACTTCCTGTAGTTCCTGTACCTCCTCTACTTCCTGTAGCTCTACTTCCTGTAGTTCCTGTACCTCCTCTACTTCTTGTACTTCCTGTACCTCCTCTACTTCCTTTACTTCCTGTAGCTCTACTTCCTGTAGTTCCTGTAGCTCTACCTCCTCTAGTTCCTTTAGTTCCTGTAGCTCAAGTTGTTCCTCAAACAACCATCAAGTCTCCAAAAGCTTGTTAGTTGTCATTCCTCTGACCATGTTTTTAGCGTGTGCTTGCTAACATGTATTCCCCAGATGAAGAAGAAGAAGCGGCACAGGAACAGCGCTCCGGAGTGGGGGGCGTACTGTAACCTCAGCGAGCTGGGTCAGTCCACTTCCTGTTTGTTTTACTCTAAGAGGAATGGAACAGTTCCTGCAGAACAATGTGAGGACTGAAGGAGAGTTTTAACACCTTTCAGAGTCCAATCCTTCTGTTTCATGAAGCGATTCCCCAGAAACAGTTTTACAAACGTATTTTTCAGTGTTTTGTCAAGTAGTTATTCCCAAAAATTAGGTCAGATATTTTTTTTTTTTATCCCTGTTTGAATCGCACGTATGATGTTTATCATTTAAAAGATAATTCTGTTTTTTTTCAAAAAAAAGCCCAGTTTTTCATATTGGTCTCAAGTGACCTTTAGTGTGGCAGGGCGGCCGAGTGGCCCCCGCAGAGGGTACGCAGGTAGGATGGAAATACAAATACAAAACCAGAGAAATTCTGTGGGCCAATGACCGAACTTTACTTTAAAGCAAAGTTATTCAGATTTGTACCAATGTGACTCCACCCTGAAAAAGAGACAATACAACAATCGAATCTTTCAGATGGACAAACACCATCGGGAACAGGATCAAAAACGTTTTCACCAAAACAGGGTCCCATGGTGGTCGTCAGGAAGGGGCGGGACTTAGGCTCCCTGTGCTGATTCCCAATAACGTGGTATAAATAGTCAAGAGTACATCGAAGTTGTTATATTTTATATTTTCTTTTCTGCAGGTGTTTACTGCATCGACCGGCGCTTCAGTTACCACGTGGAGCCGCGCTACCGAGGTACGGCGCCGGGGGGGCCGGACAGACCCCACGTGACCTCATCAACCTACGACTCCCCGGCCAATCCCCTCGCTTGAACAGTTCCCCTCGGCCAATGACCGCCCCCCCCCCGCCTGCCTTTTGAACCCCATGTAACGTTGCTTGTAAGCGGTTCGCCCGTCCTCAAGGGTTCATAAAGGGAGATTATCTCATTGATTCTGGAACATTTGATCAGATTATTTATGCAACGATTCAAATAGGACAAAATGTCAGTTCCTAAATGACTTTTCTTAACGTTGGGTTGAAGACACAACGTCAGTATTCAGGCAACTGAAGACATTTCTGACTCGATATCGATATGTTGTTGGACGATAAGTGAATCAACAAAGCGTGTCTCTGTTTACCAGAGCACATGTTTATGTGAATCATATATAAAGAGATCAGAAAAAGATGAACTATTACTATAACTATAGCATTGGGGGTTGTGTTAGTTAAGAAAATAACCACGACTTTCAAATCTCAAACACGGGAGAGAGAATTACATTACATTACATTAGAATGACTTAGAAGCCGACGTATGAAAAGATCACCACGACTTGTTTTGTTGGGATAAATTCCATAAATAAAAGTGTTCACATAGTGTTTCACACAGCAACCAGAGAAGGGAAGTATTGATGTGAAAAAGGGAAATGAATACATGAATTAGTTTAAAATGAAACTAAATGTTTACTAACGTAAATACATATGAGCTACACGTCTGCATGAACAGTGGGACTTAAAGTCTCTTGATGAGAGCTTCACAGAGACGATTGTCCCCCAGAAAGGACGAAAGGACAAAGTGCTTTGACTCACCTGGAAGATGTCAATGTCGTTTTTTAGGAGCTAAAGTCGCCGCGTGGATAAGACGGCGCCGCGTGCAGCATGAACCCCTCTGGGACCCCCTCCCTTGACGCCTCTCCGTCACGCCTGTAACGTGTGTTTGTGTCTCTGCAGGTCCAGACCCCCCCCCACAGTGTGTTTCTCCTTCTCTGCTTTGACCCCCCCCTCCCAGAACGCACCCTGGGGAGGTCTTTCCTTCTCAATAACTGGATGCTGATCTGCTTATGAATGTTAAACTAACATGTGACCCTCCTGCAGGAACCGGATTCATCCGCCGATAAAAGTAGTCCGAACGGGTTTGATGGCGCAGCTCGTCTGTTTCAGGCTTTCAGGAAACTCTAAAAGTTTAAAGTTCTGCCAGAAAGCTTGTAGAAGCTTGTAGAAGCTTGTAGAAGCTTGTAGAAGCTAACTGTCGGTCGCCTTGTCTACCGAATTGACAGACATGTCGGTTGCTATGGTAACCGCTGTGACCACCGGTCAGTATTTCTCAGTAGTTTGAGAAGCGGAAAAGCTGCGTGTTGTAGTTTCTCTGTAAAGCATTTTGCGTCTTGGAGAACGTCACGCTGTCGTAACGCACGCCGCGCCCTTTGACCCCCCCCAGACTACATGAAGGGCTCGCCGTCCTCCACCTGCTCCCTGAACAGCGAGAACCCGTACGCCACCATCAGCGACGCGCAGGCCTGCAAACACTCCGAGAGCAGCTACGTGGAGATGAAGTCGCCGGGTCACCAGGAGCGCGTGACGCACTGCTGCCCCGCCGCCGCCGCCGCCATCGCCACCACGACGACCACCAGGAACATCTACGACATGGGTACGTCACCTGGAGGCGCCTGTATTTATACAGCACGTAAAATAAGTGAAAATCAGAAAATGTATAGCGAGCTTTCAACGTAATAAATGGACCAGATATTTGTATTATTCCTCTTTTTACTAGATAGATAGATTGATACTTTATTGATCCCTCAAGAGGGGAATTGTGGTATCACAGCAGCATGTACAGGGAAGAAAATAGAATAAAAAGATACAAATTATATACAATATAAAAAGATAGAAATATTAAATTAAATAAAATAAAATAAACTAAAACTGAAACAAAAGAAAAACCTTCCAAAAGAGACACTAATAATAATTTGTAAAAGGAGAAGAGGAAGAGGAAGAGCAGCAACATCACAGCAGTACAGGGTTATTATTGTCATTATTTAGCCAGACAATAAGAACCCTGTACTGCTGTGATGTTGCTGCAAATATTTAACAAACAATCAACTATTTATTCATTCTCTGTTTATATAATGCTACTAACACAACAATTGAGTTATTTCACAGTGTGGATACATTCATACATTCTACAGCAGCAACAGCAAACAGGACCATTCCATGATTGAACTCCATGTGAGAGAACGACTTTATAATAAAAACTACCATTTAGAAGCTAGGACTACATGTTGAAACACCTGTAAAACTGTGATTTGAATGATTATCTAATGATGATCCATGTGAATGTAGTGAGAGTAACGGCTACTGTTACGTATATGAATTATGTCTTACACAGTTTGGATTTAAAGAACTCAAACTCAAACAAATCTAGAGTGAAAAGACAAAAGCGTTCTTCAAATGAAATGTACTGATAACTATTTAAATTTTCTACAAGGCTGAAATGTGTACGATTAGTCTACTTAAAACTGTCCATCTGCCCTTAAGGTGTCCAAACTGTCCATCTGTCCAAACTGCCCATCTGTCCATCTGTCCAAACTGTCCAAACTGTCCATCTGTTCAAACTGCCCAAACTGTCCATCTGTCCATCTGTCCAAACTGTCCATCTGTTCAAACTGCCCAAACTGTCCATCTGTCCAAACTGTCCATCTGTCCAACTGTCCAAACTGCCCATCTGTCCAAACTGCCCAAACTGTCCATCTGTCCAAACTGTCCATCTGTCCAACTGCCCAAACTGTCCATCTGTCCAAACTGTCCAACTGTCCATCTGTCCAAACTGCCCATCTGTCCAAACTGTCCATCTGTCCAAACTGCCCATCTGTCCAAACTGCCCAAACTGTCCATCTGTCCAAACTGTCCAACTGTTCATCTGTCCAAACTGCCCATCTGTCCAAACTGTCCATCTGTCCAACTGTCCAAACTGTCCAAACTGCCCATCTGTCCATCTGTCCAAACTGCCCATCTGTCCAACTGTCCAAACTGTCCAACTGTCCATCTGTCCAAACTGCCCATCTGTCCAAACTGTCCAACTGTCCAAACTGCCCATCTGTCCAAATTGCCCATCTGTCCAAATGTCTAAACTGTCCATCTGTCCAAACTGCCCATCTGTCCATCTGTCCAAACTGTCCATCCCGAGTGTCGGCTATGTTTTATTTATTTATTAAGAGAATGAAATGAATCAGTTATCAAATAATAATAATAACAAAGAAAAGATGCAATCTGACTGACTGAACCCCCCCTCCCAGAACCAAGCATCAGCATGGTGCAGGGGCCCGGCTGCGTGCTGGTTCCCGGGTACCCGCAGAACCCGTACGACCTGCCCAGGAACAGCCACATCCCGAGCCACTACGACCTGCTGCCGATGCGCCCGAGTCCGTCTCACAGCCTCGGCCTGGCGCTGCCCGGCAGCCCGACCAGCTCGCTGCTCTAAACCCCCCCCGACCTCCCCGACCCCCCGCCGTGCCAGACTGGACTGGACCAGTACCTCCCAGTTTTGTCCAGAACCCGGAAACTGGTGAAGCGGGAGAATCTCCGTCTGATCGACGGACCCATCGACGCTCCATCTTCCTAGTTCCGCCTCGCCAGAGTGATGCGGATGCAGGCGAAGCGAATCTTTCGGGTGGACGATGGCCAGAGACTCGACCCCCGCTGTGCACATTTTGTTTGGGCGGGGACTGTTGTTCCGGGCCGAGGCCCGCTTCAGATCCACGGAACACGAGGAAGCTCAGTACCACGTCTCCGGACTGGCACGGCGAGGGACTCTGGGGAGGAAAGGCGCTCGTGGCTCCAACGTTAAAGGACCAGAGTCCTTGTGGTATTTTTACACATTGTTTCTTATTTCCTGTTTAAGGTACCGATGGATCCCTATTTCCTCTGTGAAAAGCCGTCTGTTTATGTTCTGTAGTGGTGAATTCCTGTATTTATTATTGTGATTTCCTTCTTTTCACGTGCATGCCAAATAATAGATACGATATTTAGTCATGAACTATTTCCTCTTGTAAGCTGATTATTGTCATCTGACTCAACATGGGTGCAACTCTGTTTATCAGTTTATCATTTTCAATTAATCCATTCACTGTTTGGCCTTCAAGAAGAGCAGCACGTTTGCCTGAAAAATTACGTTAGCTATTAATCGATTGTCACAAAGACCTGCAACGATATTTAACTAAATAGCTGCGGCTCCGATGAATTTGTTGTCTGGAGGTCAAAGTTCAAAGCTACGAAAACAGGGGCGGTTTTCAATTTCTCTGGATCTAGCCACATTTTTTTATGCAGCTTTTTTATTACGATGGCAAAATTCAGTAAAAACTACGACCATCGCGCAACGAACACGTCACGTTTCATGTGCTCTTTGCGTTTCATCGAGAAACACTGGAGTTCTGGCTCCGAACTCACAGGACTTATCTTCTTATAACTCATATCTTCTATATATTGACATTGTCTCGGTCTCCAGACGCACGACCTGACAGGAACGAACTGTTTAAAGTAATTTAAAGACCTCTCTTCAGGCCTCACAAAGGTTCGTAGGAGAAAGGCCACCAGGCTTTAAATTGAACCCAGTGGCCAACAGTGGAATTACAACCACGGCGGCTAATTATTATTGTCTTGCAATGGGAGCGACGTCTTAACGCTTGAATAGTTTAAATCTTTAGGTCCTGGAAGTTGTTGAGTTATTGTCTTTGACCTTTACATTTTTAAAGTATTTTTTGCTTTACGGGCAACTGAGAAACGTTTATAGGAGTGACTTGGCTCCGCCTCCAACGCTGTATCCAGTTTATATATTCGTGGCGACCAAGGCGTCCGTTCTTCTTCTTCTACTCTGTTTACTGGAGTCACGACAGCAGGGAAACACATTTAACGGATTCATGTTGTTACAGCATCATTGAATTTCGGTTACCAAACTGTGTAATTCTTACTTGTGGCAACTGTTTCTCACAATACATATGAAAAAACGTTTTCTTTTACATAAAATGATAATTATGCTTTGGCGAAGAGCAATGACGTGTCAACGTTGGGACGCAAGTGGCTTTGTGTTTGGTTTTCCAAATGTTGTTCCCTTTGCTCTGATGTTATCTTGCTCGTTTTTCGTCCCACTTTGACCCAAATAGTTTCAGCTCCAGTAGACGTAAAGTGTTGTTTTCAAGCCCTAAACTCATTAAAGTTGTTGTAGCTCAGGTGAGTGGTGTCATGTCCTTTTACACCACAGCTGGCGTTTAATAGTCATGTCGCCTCTTTTTAATAACCTTGTCCATCAGTTATGAACATGTCATGTGTATATACTCAATGTATGAGTGTGTGTCGTCTGCAAAGAAGTTGACATCATGTTGAGTTTGTATGAGGTGACCGTGACAGGAAATCGCCCTGAGCAGATCGTTGAGTGGCCCTTTAAAATACATTTAATCAGATGTCCCACTGTTACTTGCAGTAGATCACACTCACCCATGTTCATATCAGCATTATGTGAACAATTGATTTTGCATTAGCCGTTTCTGCAAGATACATTCTTGGTCATTACCTTACGGGGGTCAGCCTGGGCTTTGGAAGGAAATTAAATCCGTCCGTTAGTAAGCAAGAATTGCTAAACCCCATTAGCATTAGTTTCGGTCATCTCCGGCGGTAGACCGATGGCACGCGATCGACTGGTACTGCCTTTGAGATCGACGTATTGAGCACCCCTGGTCTAGGGCCACCAGAGGATCATCGTTTGGGATTTTAAGTGGATTGGCTGAATCATGATAACTAGTGACTTCCTCTGACTTTTCATCAACATTTCAAATTGTCCAATTATTTGAGTTATCACCAAAAACTTACAAATCTCATGACATTTGTGTGTGCTAATTAGTTTAGAGCGCCATGTTTGTGCAAGAACAGACAGCTAGCATGATGGAATGAAGCCGACTCTTCATAAAGGCTGCATTCTCTCTACTGACCACCGGGGGCGACGCCTCTGGTCTGTGAGAAAATGACTTTATGGACTCGCTCAGTAAACATGAGTTTATGGTCTGAACCTTGAGTTTCAAGTTGTCTTCAATACAGCATGATGTTCGGTTTCCAAACTGGGGGGCTTCTGTTAAGTAGAGAGAGGTTCTGGCTTCACTCAGCAGAATTCAATCTCATGGTTAGCATTTTATGTTGAAGGCGGAATAAACTACTAATAAACCTCAGGAATATCAAGTAAAATACAAGCATATAAAAAGGTTTATGACTGGTGCGCTTTATTAAGATGAACTGATAACTTAAGATATAGACACAATTGTACAATTTATCAATCTGTACAAAAACATAAAACCATTCATTTTGACTCCCCTCTCACATTTAACCCCTTCAAATCCGTTGAAATAACATTTCATTCCAAATACGTTTATACTGGAATTACAGTCAGTTATAGAGTTCTATATAGTAAAAAAAAAAAGATAACACGGCTTAAAAAAAACAGCAACAAAAAAAACAAACACAGAACAATGGAGGTACGTGACGCAGGATCAGAAATCAGATTTCCAGGAGGGAGGAAATAGTCCACGGATTGCCGGCTAAGTGAGTCCGGAGGAGCTCGGCTGGCGCCGCCGCCGTCCTGTTCCAGGAAAAGGAAAGAAACCCCCCAGAAAACGCCACTGGCGCCGCCAGCCGAGCGCCACACGCTCCAGAGCTACCCATCAACCCGCTGCCTCTAAATACACACACACACACACACACACACACATCAGGCCGCTAACCCCCATCAGGCATCGCGTCGGTTCGCAGACTCAGCAGTTAGCCTGTCATGCTAGCTAGCATAGCACTCAGCAGGACGGTGAATGTTAGCTACGTAAGGCGATACGACGCGGAGTTGCAGTCGTAACAGAAAGCCATGCGTTGTTGAAGTCAGAGGCAGCTTGGTGCACGGAGGCGTAATGTGGCGGGCGGGGGGCGGGGCTAACGGGGGGGGGGGGGCGTTTCCTCGACTCTTTTCTCTGAGGTCAGAGGAGTCGAGGAAACGAGGTCGCGAAAGCATCTTTGTTCTCTCTTTTTTTAAGGCCACCGAGGTCCAGATTCTCCCAGTGAAATGAATCTTAAATCAAGCAGGCGTGTGAAGATAAGATTGAGTGACAGATTGCGACGGGTTCAGCCTGGCGTTTCCTTTTCCTACTTCCTCTCAAGTGTCTCCTTGCTACGGTCCTGTGGTTCGGTGCCGAGCAGAACTAAGACGGTACTAAATCATTTACTCCTGCTGTGATTTCATTCCTCCATTTGTAGAAGTGCACAGGGACTCCAAACAGCCACGTGCTGGTTTCTGCATAGTTCGTAGTCCAACGTGGCGCTTTCGTTACGCCGGACTAACGCGTGTCTTTGATCACAACGTTGCCGTGACGATTGGCCCACGAATCCCCGACGTTAACGTTCAGCTGTAAAAACGACACATTAAACTCCAGATTTCACCACAATGTTGTTACATCCGGTCCTGAACTTCTCGTCTGACTGCCGTTACCGCGGCAACGCGCTACGCGCAACAAAGAGCTACAAAAGGTTGAATGTTTCAGTACGCTGCGCTCGATACAATCCATGTGGTTTTTCCAAAACAGTAAATTGCACTAAAGAAGAGAGACTGTGTGTGTGTGTGGGGGGGGGGGGGGGGGGGGGGGGGTGCATATGGGAATACACTTCAGAGCAACTTTGATGTGCTTTAAATTCATATACATACCATAAGTAGATATATGAGACAAGAAAAAAAATGGAGAAATCATCAAAGTATAAAGAAAGAAAACAAATCACATTCATATTTTAAGACATTTTGTGACACGTCAGCGCATCTACAGTAATGAAGCTAAAGTGATATGAAACGCCTGCTGTCCTGCAGAAGCCTAACAACAGAGGGGCTCTGCTTGGGGTGGGGGGGGGGGGTCACCCCATGCGGTGACGTTTTATACTGGGATGTATTTACCTGGGGCGGTGGGGGGGGGGGGGGTAAAGGGCGGGGAGGGGGGGCACAGAGGGGTGCAGAGTCCGGGTCACAGCCTGGAGAGCTGTGGCTCGTCGCTCACACACCACGCAGTACGACCGAGGCAGTCTATTTTCTGGGGGCTTTGGGAAGGGGGGGGAGGGGGAGGGGGCTGTGGAGAGAAGGTGGGAGAGGAAGATGGGGGAGGGGGGTGGGGGGGGGCAGCAGATAGACCTGGGCTAGATGTTCTGACAGCACTGCATCTTTGGTTTGTTCTCAGTGGGCTGAACCTGGATGTTGACCACGTTGTTGCTAGGCGACATGTCGCTCTCCTGGCGCTCCGACATCTGCTTCTGGGAGACAATGCGGTAGATCTCTGATGGGGGGGGGGGGGGGGGTGAACATGTGGAGGACATCATTATTAACCCAGACAACATTTGTGATCTTTCTGAGCAGACAGAATCTGCCAAAACCAAGTGACCTTTAAACCCAGAAGGTCTTCAAATCTACATTAACTACATAAGTAAATATTTAGCAGCCTAGATACAGGATTTTCAACCTTTTTCTCGGTTTCTTTTGTTTGTTGCCGTTTGGATCAGACGTTTCAAGGTACGTGGAGACCTTGTTAATATACACAGACATAAATAAGGAGGTTGTGGCGGAGGAGGCGTTACCTGTCAGGATGGTCTGGAAGGCCGTCTCAACGTTGGTGGAGTCCAGAGCCGACGTCTCCAGGAAAGATAGGCCGTTCTTCTCTGGGGAGCAGAAGAGGAGCAGCACATCAGATACAAGCGCGTTCCACAGATGCAGTGATACAACGGATCAGTTGGAAGATCAAAAAGAGATTCAAGAAAAATCACAGCAGCTGTTGCTGCGGCACGAGGAGTCACAGGATGAGGCTCAAGTTACGCACCACAAATCATTACCTAAAAATATACACGTATAACAATAGAAATCCGTAGTGATCCATCGTACAGCTCATTAGCATACAAACATCACGTTAATGACACACTTCTAACATTCAGTAAAAACATTGGCGATGACGTTGTTAAAGTTTTTCTAGTTTCTGATCATGTGACTTTGTAAACAGCCAATCAGTGTTTCATCAACAGGAGGCGAGCTAGTAACGTTAGCGGCTAACGTCTAACCCATGGAGATTCACTTCAGTCACATTATGATGCGTTCAGGCGCTGCTCAGTGAACATGATCATCATGTGCAGTGCAGTTTGGGCTACAAACTAGCGTGTCGTGGTGTTTTACTCTGTTAAAGAGTGTTTGTTGTGGGTTCTTCATTGTAGTTATGAGATTAAAAAAACACAAAAAGACAAGTAGCTCCTCCATGACGTGTTCAAATAAAACCTGCCACCTGCCGAAGAGCAACGTCAGTTGTTGTGGCGCAACACCTGTGTGAACGTTACGTGAGAAACTCACGCCGTGTGGAGATGTTATGCCGGTACACCGTGCAGCCCTAACGTTGAGCCTCTGTTCGTTTTACTTCCAATGCAAAAGGCTCTTTCATTATTGATGTAACTGACTGCAGCTGGCGGCGCTTTGTTTCTGCGGTCAACTTCCTGTTTATACAAACGTACGTTAACTACGTTAAAAAAAATGTTGTTGCATTAATCATATAGATTAATACGTCTATGTTGACAGCTCTAATTATTATACAGCATTCAAAACAATGAATAATCTTATATTTTTCATTTATTATGTGTTTGAGAAAGAAAACTGCACCACAAATGTTAAATAAACTATATTTAGATCATCTAAAGCAGTTTGTCTGCTCAGATTGATTTTTTCCTTTTGGTTTTTCTGCAGCGTGCGTCTCACCTGCGAAGGCCCGCGCCTCGTCGGTGGGAACGGCCCGCAGGTGGCGCAGGTCGCTCTTGTTGCCCACCAGCATGATGACGATGTTGCTGTCGGCGTGGTCCCTCAGCTCCTTCAGCCAGCGCTCCACGTTTTCGTAGGTCAGGTGCTTGGCGATGTCGTAGACGAGGAGGGCCCCCACCGCCCCGCGGTAGTACCTGCAGCACAGAGGGGGCGCCGGACCCCCGACAGGTGAATCGGGGCTCTCTGGTCACCATTCTGCCTAAAGGGCTTGAAATCCCTGAGGCGTGTTGCAGGAAACACTAATACTTAGTGGAATACTACGAGCGGATCCGCCCTCACGGGTGAAATAAAGTTCTGACGATAGTTTTAAGTTCAATAAAAACCCATCCGAAGACTCAAGAACGACTGTGGCCCGGATCCCTCCCCATCTTCCTCCCTCCTCCCCCTCCCCACTCACGCCGACGTGATGGCCCGGTAGCGCTCCTGGCCGGCCGTGTCCCAGATCTGGGCCTTCACCGTCTTGCCGTCCACCTGGATGCTGCGCGTGGCAAACTCCACCCCGATGGTGCTCTTGCTCTCCAGGTTGAACTCGTTGCGGGTGAACCTGGAGAGCAGGTTGCTCTTCCCCACACCCGAGTCGCCGATGAGGACCACTGGGACACAGAGGGCACGGTTAGCAGAGAGAGCGTATAAAACTGCCACGGTTACTTTAATTAGAGGGCTGCAGCAACGAATTGATGAAATCGATGACGCTAATTTACTAAAAAAGCGCTTGCGACGAATTTCATTATCGATTTGTTGTGTCGCGCGATTATTACGTCACTCACGGCGAGGCGATAAAATAAAAAAAGCGCCGAGCCGACCACGATGTGCAAGCATTTCACACTTGACCGTTCATTTTTCAATATGTTGTCTTGTATACATCAATGTGAGCAGGTACTGTACATTATGGCTCAATAATTACACCTTGTGAATCACTCTCAACCAATCAGAAGGCTGGATTTCATCGACCCGTATTATAGATTATAATACAACATTTCTATCAGTAGACATTCAAATGAATTCTATTACTTAGGACCTGGTCTTACAGAGGACACTTCGGAACCTGATAACAGGATTTTAACACTGAATATCTTTTAGGGAATAACTTTAAACTAATACATTATTCATCAGTCTTTTACCTCAATCACCTGTTCCAGTTGGGGGAGGGACCATGAGCACGTCTGGACAGGTAGAAGTACTCCATGAATGCAACATGAAGTGTTACGCTCCTTTTAAATATAAATGTGTTTTTTGTTTTTAAACAGACGTTGGGGACAACCTCCCGCTTCAGTACACGGTGGCGTTTTTAGGTTTCATCTTTCTGCTGTGTTGAAGGGAGCGACACAGTGACAGAGGAGCCGTCTTGCATGCGTTTGCTGTATTTTGTTTTAATCATCTCATTTGCTGTGGTTTGGTTGGTTGGTTACTTTGAAGTGATATTCTTTTATATTTTATGACTTTACGGTTTAGACCTTTACACTGACCTCCCGAACGTCACAAGTTAGTCCCACACGGTCCATTGTCTTTGTTTGAGATATTAAGTGAGCAGTATTTAAGCTCTTTTGTAGAGTTCATTTAACCGTTTTTGCTATAGTGGTCTCAGCCTTCAGAATATCACCGGGTCGTACTATTATAACAAAAGGTACTGAGTAGTACTAGTATTTATGCTGCTATTAACACTACAGCTACCACTAATTTTACTACACATACTAATGGTATCATGTCTGCATTTTTAGCAATTCAATTTAGCTTTTCTCACTTCTGCATTTATAGCATTTTTTAAAAATCCACTACGGCTTTTAGCCTTCAGCTTCAATCTTTCAGCATTCCAATGCATTTTCTACTTGTTCCTCTCTACTTGTGCATGTAAACGACGTACAAACACCCAAGGTTAAAAGTAACTCAATACATTTACTTAAGTAGATATTTGTAAGTATTCAAATGTTACTTTATATCGCTGAGGCAGATCTTGTACTTTTGACTCTGGTCTACATTTTTTTTTAAAGATCATGTGTCCAGTTTATGAGATACGACTGATGTCAGAATAAACTTTACTACAGTAAGGTAGTAAAATGTGCTGCATGAGCTTCTACATTGTTAATGGGTGAAAGTATTGGTTATATGATGAAAATAATATAACATTTAGAAAGGAACCAAACAAATAATTCTCACTTTAATACTTAAAAGTCTGATTTGAGACAGTATGTAGTATTACTACTACATGTAACAGTTCTGAATACTGGTAGATAATAAATACACAATAAATATGAAACATGCAAGTTAGCTGCGAGTTTGATCACTTGAAGACGTTTACTGTCTAAAGTTAATTGATAATTTACGAATAGCCACTTAAATAAGGTATTACTGCAAACAACAACGTGACGTCACATCCCGAACGTCCACGGTACCGCGCGCTGACCCAAGTTTGTTTACACGGACCGTATGTTGGTCAAACGCAAAGCGTCCGCGAAGTAACGTTATTATCGGCACTAATGTCATAAATGCTAACACGCTGACCCGCACGTCAGCTCATATCCAGCCCATCGTGGCGTGTGTTTCTTGGCGGATCCACGGAGTTCGCTCCGTGGAGATAACGTGATAGCGGCTGACGCGAGGTGTGTCCGACGTGAAGCGGGTCCGCACCCTGCGCTGGCGAGCTAGCGGCGGCTAACCGCTAACGCTACTCAAAGACGCCCCGGTCTTTCTTTAACGATAGCTGCCGCTGCGTATCGATGGCCCTGCTAGTTTCACGCACGCTGTTCGGCGAAAAGTCACGACGAATCGCGCGAGTTGTCTCAACGCGATGACATTCATCAGCAGGCTCGCTGGGAAGCGTTCGGAGCACAAAGGTTGACGGCGGCTACGTTAGCATAGCCTGTCAGCTGGACCGTTTAGCTTGTCAGCTAATCGACTGGCAGGACCGGAGAGACGCCGCGACAGGAACGAGAAGAATTTCACTTTTTACCTTTGAACAAATAATCATATTCGTCATCTCTGGTGCCCATCGTCGTAGCTGTAAACGGTTAGTCTGAGATTTAATGGGAGGACGGCGATGTGAAGAAATCCACTGTTCCAACGGGAATCTGTTTGGGAGCCGCACTTCCGCAATGTCTTCTTCTACTTCTTCTATTCCGGCAGCGCATCAGCGGCACACGAAGACCGCCACCTCGTGGATGGGAGACGGATGTAAAAACACTAATTTGGCAGAATACTCCCTTACAGATATAAAAAAATGAATGTCCTATTATTGGAATATTATTACTGGTTCTTTTACGCATTTTAATTCAACGTGGTGTAGCACATTTGAACTACTTTACATACCCAAGATTTTATCTGTAGCACCACAGTATCATATTTTTTAAACGGATAATTTGTGTGAAAATGTTGACCTGAAAATGAACTAAATGCTGACACATGAATGTAGAGGAGTAGAAGATGCATACAAATGGACTCAAGTATACATGTGAGGTTACTATGCAGAAAACAACAAACTTTAATTTATCTTTAAACACAGCTACACACAACAAAACACACCAGAGTTAATCAAACGCATAAACTGCTGTGAATTGCCTCTTCATTACAAATCTATAACTGGTCTGTCACTTTTATATAAATATATATGCATAAATAATTCCAATCAAAAGATAAAAATGTAAATAAGACAAAAGTGAGGGAAGATTTGCTTTTAAGTAAAAAGTGAATTTGTTTGTATTTAAAAACAACAAAATACTGAACCACAAAAACTATTACTACTTCTAATAAAAATAATGATAACTTTAAAATGATAGAAACATTGTCTTAACTTGGTTCATTACAAAACTTTAAATTGAAAGGAAAGTAACTTTCTTACAATAACTTCTGTGTTCTATGTGACTCTTTGACTCAAATTTATTTTTAATGCATTTCTGTTGCTGCATCCTTTTTCATTTCTTCTTATGATCAGGAAGGAATTTCTTCAATTTGCCATACTGCCAACAGAGACAAGAGGAGGGATGTTAAATTGTGCATTCCGTGCTTTCAATGACACCGACGTCGCTGATTGATTGTCCGACTTACGTTCTTCCCCCAGTTGGACTGGGACTTGTTCTTCACGTCCTCCAGGGACTCGTAGGTGTTCCCCTGGACGGCCTCATCCGGGATCCGCTCGTAGGTGTTCTCTGGCAAACCGGTGGGCGCCGGAATCCTGGGGACCTCGGCGTACGTGGCGCCCCTCGGCTGAGCAGGGCCGGGCCCGGCGGAGGTCTGGTACAGCGGGTTGGACCGCATCGACTCCGCACCCGGCTGCTCCGACCCGCCCGGCCCGGAGCCGGATGCGGGCTGGTGTACGGAGTAGGTGAGACAGGTGGTCTTCTTCAGAGGAGCTGTTGTGTGAGGTTTTGGTGCGGGTGGAGGGAGCGTGTCCTCCTCCTCCTCCACGCTGCCGTGTCTCAGCGTCGGCAGAGATGTGCTCCTGATCTCGGAATAAAGCCAGAAGAAGGAGTCTCCGTCGGGCGATGCCATTGGACTCATGTTTTTCCGGATTCCCTCTGACCCCCCCGGGTCGGTCTGGGTTTGGGGTGTTGTGTCGGGCAGAGAGCCTCTCAGGGAGAGCCCTGGGAGAAGGCCTCTCTTTTGAACTGAAGGAACATCCTGAAGGACACGAAGGCAGGACAAGTTATCTCCACACAGAAAGAAGTAGAACCACGGACTGGATATAACCCACTAAACATTGGACGTCGGATAGACGTGCAGATCATGTCTATATTGGGTCCGTCGGTCCATGACCAATTCTGGACATCTATTCGACGTCCATACTAGGTCCACTATTTGGACGTCCAACCATGACCCAACTTGGACAACATATTTACGTTCAAAATTTGACCTTCGAAGCGGGTAAGTTTTGTGGACGTCATCTGGACGTCAATGACAGGCTGTTTATTTACAAATATCAACATGTTTCATGATATGAATAGTATAAGTAATATAAATATAAAAATATAATATAAATAATATTATTCATAAACATGATTTAATATGTGCATGCCTGTTTATTTATTCAGTGGGTAATTTTCCTGTTTTAGTGAAAAAAAACTTACTGAACAATACTAATACTATTTTTTTTTTAATTTTATTAAATTAATAAATACATTTGAAGTAGAAAAAGGCATGCGTTTACAGTGTAATGTAAGTCGCTCTGGATAAAAGCATCTGCTAAATGACCTGTAATGTAATGTAAAAACCAGTAAACGTCACTCTGATTGGCTGAAGCAACACCATGTAATGATGCCACTCGGTCAAGGCAACACGCCAGACATTTGGCACGGTTCAGCGTGTTCGATTTCCTCTAAATTGAAGGTAAGTTCGATAAGCCTAGTGAATTCTATGTCCATGCCCTACATCGTAGCGACACACATTTTTATTTTGCGTTAGCTAAACAAAAGGAAATTAACTGGTACAGAAAACATGTCCCCTACCTTTTAGTTATAGAAGTAGTATAAAACGTCTAAAATTAGTCTAAATTTGACGTTGAAAAGACGTCTAAAACGACCACATTTGTACTATAAATAGCCCTTATATGGAGGTCCCACGGACGTGAACATTAGACGTGCAGTAGACGTAAAAAAAAGACGTCATCTGGCGTTACAAAACAACCCCTTCAGTGGACCAAAATTGGACGTCCAAAATGACCTAGAAAAGACGTCACACTGACGTCACATTGCGCAGTGGGAAGAAGTGGCCATAGTCACTATTACCTCACAAGATCCTACGGTTTTGAATCTATGAAATCTGCATTTTGGCCGTTGCCATCTTGTTTTTTGCAACCAGAAGTGACACGAGAGGGTGGAGCCAAGTACAACGACACACTGAAGAAGACTAATGTCAACTGTCAAAGTCTTTAAGTTGTAAAAAAAAAAAAACACTACCAACTGGCTGGGCCACGCCTTTGGCAGAGACCTGTCAATCAGCATGTAGCTCCGCCCTAAAGCATCCTTCATGGTCTATTTGACTCTGATGGACGATCATACACTAAATCAACATCATCTGTGTTGAAGAAGACGTGAAACTAGAGACTGAGACCATAAACTCATGTTTACAATGTTTACTGAGGGAATAAATCAACAGAGAAGTAGAGTCGTCTCCTGATTGGACATTGACACGATTTCTCTGGTCGCCAGACGTGTACAAAACAGAGCGGTGTTTGTCGGTTGCCATGGCGACAGCACACGCCAGTGAGACCGCATGTACCATGTACTATGTATATGTACTATGTAAAGCCTTTTAGAGTCGCTCTCAATCAGCTGGCTGTTTAGAGTGTCTGCAGCTACCTACTGTAGCTAGCTAGCTAGCTAGCTTGTTCAGCCCGCCATGCGTTGATGCCACTGAGGCCTCGTCTCTGCTCCTCCATCCGTCATACCTGCGAGAGGGACACCGTCCCCGTCAGCCTCCTGCTTTTGAGTTTAGTCGGCAGGGCGGGGGGTCCGACCGCCGCCGCCGCGGCGTCGCTTTGCTCCACAGCGCCGTGGTTGCCGTGGAGATCGTGCTTCTGGTCCCACAGAGTCCGCAGAGCTCGGACGCTGAGCCCGGGCGTCTCTTTGGCGCGGTAATTCACCACGTCATACAGCTCGTCTGCGTCACCTGCGCTCACCTGGAAACAGCGAGCAGCGTCATTGCCCCCCCACACAGTGTAAATGAGGCCTCTCGCTAGTGGAAGCGTTACGTTTTGAATGTCTCAGGTTATCGTTTCGTGTTGCATCAGCACAAATGCAATCTTCAGTCCAAAACGTGCATCAAAACAGCTCAAATACAATAAATATTGTGTCCTACGGAAATGCATGTGACAACACACATGTTGAATTTAGTCTCGAAATAGACTCGAACGGGAAATTTATTATAAAAAAGCTTTTACGTTGCTGAACAACAAAGTTATTTCACATGAAAAGCCCCCAAATAAAGACATTTCTTCTGGATGTTTGACGCCGTCGTAGCCACATAAGAAGTTAACCACCAAAGCCGTTGGGATTCTTCCTTTTGGGACCCCGAATGTCGTGGTTACTTGCATTTTGGTCCGAACAAATGGTGTCGATGACGAATAAATTTACTGTAAACTTTGCGTAAGAAGCTAACAAGCCTGCTGCGGCTAAAAGCCGCCCTACGCGAGGCCCCCTCACCTCGGACCAGCTGGAGGTCAGGTGCTCTCCGAAGGGCTGGATGGGGCTCAGCCTGTAATGCTCGATCAGCTCACCGAGGCTTCCGTGCGGCTGACTGTCTCCCGCTATCACAAACTGTCCCGCCGGGTTCTGGGTGATGACGAAATGGCGGCACCGGTCGCTGCCCCTTTGTTTGGAGGGAGAGAGAGAGAGAGAGAAGAGGGAAAACAGTTGAGCCCGGTGAGATGAATGAAAAGGTCGGCAAAGGTAAGACTGTATTCATGGGTCTTTCCCTCACTTGTAGGACAGGATGTAGCCGATGGCTCGGTCACTGAGGCGGATGAGGAAACAGCCCGGAGCTTTATCGCTGAGTAGATCCTCCGTCTCCCTGAAGCCCAGAGAGGAACAAATTAAACAAATTAGGCTTTAAAATAACCGGTTTCCTGTGAGAGATACAAGCCGAACAATCGATGGTTGTTTACTCCTAAACCTATATAGACCTCCATCATTAAAAGAGAAGATTTGGGATTCTGGTGAAACCAGGTGACATCATGCAAGTTCACCAGAACCACTTTCTGCTCAGACTCCAGCAGAGACCATGTCCACCGAGAACAGACCCAGATCCTCCAGCAGAGACCAGTCCACCGAGGACAGACCCAGATCCTCCAGCAGAGACCAGTCCACCGAGGACAGACCCAGATCCTCCAGCAGAGACCAGTCCACCGAGGACAGACCCAGATCCTCCAGCACAGACCAGTCCACTGTGAACCAGGACTGAGAGGGCTGTGAGACCCTGCTGAGGTTTCTTGAAAGGGACCCGGTGTTAGATACACTACCACTTTAGTCCACAGGGGGCGCCACAAGCAACACTGAATAAAAGTTTCTCGTCGTAAATTTAAGTACATTTTGCTAGTAAAACTTAGTCCCAACATACATGACCTCTGACCTCAAGACGTCTGTTTCCACGCATAAATGTGTGTATATATATTTTATATATACAACATATGTAGAGTTTCAGATTTAGAGAGTTCATTGAGCAAGTATTCTGGTTACCACATTAAGAAAAGTAGCAATAAGCATGAGTGAAGTCACATGATGATCATTACATAGCATAATCAATGACATCATCGGATGATTAGAAAAGCATTTATGTGTGAGTATAGTAGGTCGGGTACAAGTACTTTGATGAGTACACCAGTTCCATTCCTTCCACCGCTGCATAACAACAAACAGGACAAACATCCTGCGTTCAAACAAACAAACAAACAAACCCAAGGGCGCAACTTCTCCCCCCATGGGCGCGTCTCCATGGAGACCGTACCTTCGGGCCGCGAAGCCCTTGAACCAGTCGGGGAAGGTCCCGTCGCGCAGGAAGAGCGGCGCCTGCGTCTCCGTGAACCACCTGTGCACCAGCTCCCTCTGGCCCCCGTCCTCCGCCCGCATCTTCTCCATCCCGTCCGTGCTGTGAGGAGGCAGAGGAAAGAGGCCGCGCGCTCGGACACCGCGCACGCGCCTCGTGGACCCGCCGAACGAGCGGACGCGTCATTTGCATGTTTCCCTCGTGCGCGGCGGCCGTCTGAACGGCGGCTTTGTTTTAGCGCAGATGACTCAGGACCGGTTCCCTGTTAGTTTGTTCTCTTTTTTATCTGATGAACTTTCTCCGTTACTACGCGTGCAGAATGGAGGAACATGAACGTGCGTTCGTGTGTGTGTGTGTGTGTGTGTGTGTGTGTGTGTGTGTGTGTGTGTGTGTGTGTGATTGTGTTGATCCATGAGTTCAGGAACCAAAAAGGTTCAGACCTGGAACCACAATCCGTATTCAGGTCAGTTGTTAATAAACAAAAGCATTGGTGAAATGTCTTGTCAATGGGAGTCCCAAAATGATTCAAATCCGTCCTCCGAGGAACATGAATGTCTGAACTAAACTGAATTTATAATTTTTTTTTTATAAGGACCTGTTGCTCTAAATGACAAGTGCAAACCTACTGGTGGCGCTGTGGCTGACAAACAGAGAATTGCCAAATGTGTCAATAGGGTTCATCCTCTGAGGAAGAAGAATGTCTGTATTAGATTTCAAGACAAACCAGCCAACAGTTGAGATGATTCACAAGCCAAACTCGCACAGGGATATTTTATGTCAATTGATCAGAATATCAATGCATCTACATAACTACAAATGTCAGAAGAGAAAGATAAAACAAAAACAAGTGACAACGCGAACCGCAAAGTTGTGATTGTGACCTGAACCCAGATGCTGCGCGCGCACACCGAGGCGGTGACGTCAGAGGCCAGTTGAGAAGGCACGTGCCTTGATTTAAATATCTTCCGACCCGGTAGTGGTCAGTTTTCGAATTCGGCATGAACCTAATATACTTAATTAACTTAAATCCTCTTTAAAAAAAAAGGCCGTTTCATTGCGTGCGGGGAGGTTGTAGCCTTTGAACTGCACACTACATTACAGTCGAAGGCTAAATCAAAAAAATGAAATGATTAGAATAAACGATGAGCAATGGCACTTTAAACCGAGGCGTGACGTCAGTGAGCGGGTCGCGTCCTGGACTCCTCGTGGGGAGACGCAGCTGTCCGCCACCGGGACGGGACGCCTTCAACACCGTATGTGTTTTAATATCATAATGTCACAGTATCAGTCTCGTGCTTCAGGGTCAGTGAGACTGTGTCAGATGCAATGACATGTTTTACAATATTTAACAACAGCCTTCTTCATTTTGCTGCATAGTGTCGCATTTAGTTTAAGAGTCATAATTCCGAAATCACTGGTTTGTCCTTCCGAGGAGACAAGAGATGACGTTTCATTGTGACTGAACAGCAGTGAGAATCATGGACTCATTCAAACAGCAGAGAGTGGAGGACTTCTATCAAATTGGTGAAGAGTTGGGAAGGTAAGAACATAATTTACTTCACCACGGGGGGGGATATTTCGTTTATTTCATTTAATCCAATGAAAGGTCTTTAATGGAAATCAGGATCACAATGGCCGATTTTAGTTTTGCTTATTTCAAACTTTCATGAACCAAAATGTATTTATAAAGAATCTATTCGTGGGAAAATGTATCTTTTTGGTTTTAGGACATTGATTCTTACAGAATCTTCTTTCTTCCATTATTTGTATTATATATTGTTGTTGTTGTTATCAAGGAGTCAGACATCTGTAATATTAATATTAAACGCAACCCTGATATCAATAACCACGTAGAGTTTATTCATTGTTCTTTGGAGGTGGAACATTAAATAAATGTGTGAACAGTAGTAATTCAGTTGCAGCTCCAGAGCGGATGAAGTTATCGCTCCATTGAAGCAATAAGCAAATTACACAGTCATCGCCTGCCAATGCTCCTTTTTAACGGCAGTCAAACAGTTTGAGCGGAAAACCTGCTTAATTGTAACTCGGACCTCCTGTGCCGCTGTGAAAGCAATGCATTCTGGGAGTCATGACGTCAGCTGCCTTCTCTGATTGTGCAGCACGCTGGTGAAACTGCTAAAACGGCGTCATTCTGTACGCCGTGGTCATGGCGAGTGGAGGTTTGAACGGAGGTCTCCACAGTAGGGACACAAACTGTGTGCCGCTTTGGGCCTCGTCTATCTTTGGCTGCAGCTATTTCTGCTCACAGCCGATAAGGAAGTGGAGTGTTATATTACCAGCCAAGTGAATGAAGAGGTGCGGCTGTAACGCCCTGTGACCTTTTGGATCAGAACGACAGCGAGGCCAGTGTGAGTGTGAGCCGTTGGCTTGTGTCGGATGTATTGATCGCCGATGAGAGACATGCGTGCTGGGATGAAATCAATTATTCAATAAGAGCTTGTTTGTGAAGAAAATAAAGTCCTAGTATAATTTGTTTGTATAAAATATAATGATATGGCTGGTATGAGAACAGAGAAAAAAAACACATTATAGTACATCAGAAAATCTGATAAAATTGTGAATGCTGAGCCCACTTTTCTACCAGGAGATGCTAACAAGATGCACGCTGAACATGTCACCGTGTCACTGTCTGTGCGCCGGTCAGCGGGCAGTTTGCCATCGTCAAGCAATGCAGAGAGAAAAGCTCGGGTTTGGAATTCGCCGCCAAGTTCATCAAGAAGCGGCAGAGCATGGCGAGCTCCCGCGGCGTGCGGCGGGAGGAGATCGAGCGGGAGGTGGACATCCTGCGGCAGACGCAGCACGCCAACATCGTCACGCTGCACGACGTCTACGAGAACCGCACCGACGTGGTGCTCATCCTGGAGCTGTGAGTAAAAGCCACGTGAATTGCGTCAAAACAAAAGCAGGGAGGAATAAATCCTCTTTGGCTTAATAGCTGAATGAAAGCGTAAAACAGCCTGAATGGGACACTTGATACGAAGGATGCTGCATGTTACTGCACGCTAGCCGTTGTGCGGTTCCTCTTATTCTAAAGGTCAGAGGTCTGGACGTCTGGACGATACGTGTCTGTCTTGCAGGGTCTCTGGGGGGGAGCTCTTTGACTTCCTGGCCCAGAAGGAGTCTCTGAGCGAGGAGGAGGCCACTCAGTTCATCAAGCAAATCCTCGAGGGGGTCAACTACCTCCACGCCAAGAAAATAGCCCACTTCGATCTCAAGGTGGGTCCAGACGAGATGATTAGTTCCACTCGTTATATTGTTGTTGGTGCACATGTAAATGTAGAGTCTGCTTCTCATCACAAGGGGAAATTATAGGATAGTGAATGCAGTTTTTTTTTTTTTTTGTAGTCTTAATTAAGCGTCATCTTCTCTCATCTGCAGCCTGAAAACATTATGCTGCTGGACAAGAACGCGCCGTTGCCCAGAATCAAACTCATCGATTTCGGCCTCGCCCACAAGATCGAAGCCGGCGTCGAGTTTAAAAACATCTTCGGAACTCCTGAGTTTGTAGGTCAGAAAGAAGAGAAACCCAAGTCAGGTTCTCCAGATGAGCAGCAAAGAGCCATGTTCATGCAGCAAAGATGCTCGAGTCCGAAGTCGTCGTTATGTTGTCGAGAAACAAAGGAATAAAAAGGCCTAAAAACCCAAAGAAAATCCCAGAGCCACATGCTAATATATATATTATATATTTGTTTGCCCTTTTTAGGGGCCTAAAGGTCAAAAGCTCTAATAAACTTTGCATACTTTATGTGTTTCATAGTCGGCTGCTCTACAGCTCCACCTGTAAATGTTCAAAGTTGAAGCACCTTCCTTTAAATTGTGCATGCATGAATTGGATTCGGTAAACAAAACGAAAAAACGTCTTCAAGGTGAACCGTGAACTCAATAGGCGCTTTCTGTCCTCCTCAGCGCCGGAGATTGTGAACTACGAGCCGCTGGGACTGGAGGCGGACATGTGGAGCATCGGCGTCATCACCTACATCTTGCAAGTGAACCCAGGACGCACGCTGCGCCTCCCTCAGGGGTCACGACCCTGACGTTGGGTTACGTTCTTGTTGCAGGCTGAGCGGTGCGTCGCCCTTCCTCGGAGAGACCAAGCAGGACACGCTGGGCAACATCTCGGCCGTGAACTACGAGTTCGACGAGGAGTTCTTCGGCCACACCAGCGCGCCGGCCAAGAAGTTCATCAGCCAGCTGCTCGAGGAGGACAAGAAGTAAGAAATAAAGTTAGTGGTCCACAGAATCAGCGCTCATGTGGAATAGTAACATTCCCTTTGTCTTACAGGAAAAGATTAACAATTCAAGATGCTCTCAATCACCCATGGATCAAGGTAGTTAAGACATTATATTCTTTAATCAGCTATTGTTTTCACAGAAGTGATCATTTTTGGATGCAGGAGGAGTGACGTATCTCTAGTTTCAAGTCTTCTTCAATACAGCATGATGTTCATTTAGTAAATGAAGTCTATTTACTCTCAAACAGACCATGAGGCCGGGGATGCTTTAGGGCGGGGCTACACGTTGATTGACAGGTCTCTAATAGACCATAAAGCAGGGGATGCTTTAGGGCGGGGCTACACGCTGATTGACAGGTCTCTAATAGACCATAAAGCAGGGGATGCTTTAGGGCGGGGCTACACGCTGATTGACAGCTCTCTACTAGACCATAAAGCAGGAGATGCTTTAGGGCGGGGCTACACGCTGATTGACAGGTCTCTAATAGACCATAAAGCAGGGGATGCTTTAGGGCGGGGCTACACGCTGACTGACAGGTCTCTAATAGACCATAAAGCAGGAGATGCTTTAGTGCGGGGCTACACGCTGATTGACAGGTCTCTAATAGACCATAAAGCAGGAGATGCTTTAGGGCGGGGCTACACGCTGACATGTTTCTACAAACATCTTCTCTTCATCCTCCTCTGTCCAAATACGGTCACTTCCTGTTCACTGGATGCAAAAAGCCAAGATGGCAAACATATAAATACAGCAATACCTTCATCAAGGACCATGTGGGTCCCTTAAGATTACAACGTGACGCAGTGTGGAGGCAAAGATTTATCTGAATTCTTTCTATTCTTAGTTGACTAGTGAGGATATTTAATCACTTGAGCTGCTGTATTTGTGTCTACACGCCCGCCCTCCTCCCAAAGCCCAACGAGCACAAGGAGGAGAGCAAAGCTCAGGAACCCAAGAAGCGGGAGCGCCGCCAGCTGAAGACCACGCGCCTGAGGGAGTACACCATCAAGTCCCACTCCAGCATGCCGCCCAATAACACCTACGTCAACTTCGAGCGCTTCGCCCAGGTGGTGGAGGACATCGACCACATGGAGGGCTCCTTCGCCAGTCTCGCGTCGGCCCACGACTCCCTGCAGGAGGACATCGACGCCACGGTGTCCATCTACAACGAGAAGGAGGCTTGGTACAAGGAGGAGAGTGAAGGCGTCCGCCACGAGCTCTCGCAGATCCGCTACGAGTTCCGCAAGGTGGAGGCCCTCAAGAGGAGCCTGCAGGACGACATGCGGGCCTTCGGCTCCGGCCTCGGCGCCATCAGCGCCCGCTACCGCGAGCGGCAGAGCCACTTTGAGGCGCTGCGCCTGGAGCTCGCCAACGAGCTGAAGTGGGTGCAGGACGTGATGGGTTCTTTCCCCACGGACGGAGGAGGAGGCGGAGGAGGCGGTTACCCCGGATGCAGCTTCTCCCCCGTCTTCAATGACGACGTGAACGAAGCCCTGAAGGAGCTGCTGAACCGCTCCCGTGGCGGAGAGCTGCTGACCGGGATCAACCTGGACCTTGAACCTGGACAGCAGAGATGATGACAGCGGCCGGTAGCTGCCGTGGATTTTGCTACTTTTTTGTCTTCATTTATTGGATTTTTTTCTCATGTTTATCATTAACGTGACAGACATTTGTCAACATCTGCAAAGGAGGCGTGAGGATCACAAGTCGGACCAAACGCCACCAAACTGGGAGGAGAGCCCAGATAGAAGCAAAGCTAACCCAGCTAGCACCTGAGGCTACTCCACTACCCAGCATGCCCCTGGCTTGCTGGAAGGATGACAGCGGGAGGCCCGTGACTGTTGAGTTCACGTCTTCACCGAGACGCAGATCCATCCAAGCTGCTCCTGATGGTGGACACCAGGACACAGAGCAGGACTCTGATTGGTCCAGAGAAGATGGACTGCGATTGGTCCAGAGGAGATGGACTCCGATTGGACCAGAGGAGATGGATTCTGATCGCACCACAGGAGGTGGACTCTGTGTCTACATCATGATGCTTGGTGCTCAAAGACAGAAATCAGAAATGATGCACAACGTTTTTCTTGTATTGGATTTTTGATGATGTTATCTGACATGTTCAAAAAGCGCTCACCATAACTTTTACTGAGTAACGTCATTCTGGAGAAGATGAAGTGGCCTTTTCCATATTTACTACAAGAACTTGTATTTATTGTTGATTGTAGTGCCCCTTGAGGACTAACGTGGTAGTGTCTCCTACCACAGAAAGCCTCTTATTCTTTAGCTGGGGGCCTGGTTGTTATGTTATGTATTCATTATGACTCAAAACCCAAGCAACTATATTCTATATGTTCATATATACAACCAGACATATATATGTATGTATGTATGTATGATACATGTATATAAAAAGATAGTTATATATGTATTAAATGTTGTATTTATCACAATCCCGGTGTATAATATGTTCATGAGTGTGAGAGGAATCGTTCTTTAGGGTGTTGTTTTTACACCATAGTATAACTGAATATACACAAAGGAAGCTCATCTTCCTCACTTCCAGAATCCGACATGTCTTTGGGTTTGTGCAACAATTCATAAATACGTTCAACCCTCTTGGGGAAAGTGAAATAACAGAATCAGGAATTAGGAATTACGACATTAAAGCAGATGGCATCACTTATTGATCCCTTTGTCCACGTGGGCGTGAATGTGGCTCATAGACAGACAGGCAGGAAAACAGACAGACAGGCAAGCAAGCAGACAGGCTGACGGACGGACGGACGGATCAGGCAGCCCGCAGCCCTGCGTGTGTGCGCGTGTACGCGGACCTGCCGTTAGCTGCAGTGGAAGGGGAGAGGCGGTTCGGGAGAGGCATGGAAACACACCCGCGCATGTCTCCTTTCACCGTAACGTTTACCAAACACCGGAGTGTTCGTGACGCCCGCAGCGTGAAACACAACGCACCTACGAGGACAGGCCCGTTGGCAGTTTAACCGGTGAGCCAGTTGGTGCTATTTTATATTTATTCAGGCTAACCAGAGAGCGGTAGCTAGCATGCTAACCTAGCCACGGTACAGCAGATAAGCCAGTCTTAGTTCTGGAGCTGAATTGGCTTCGTCGGGACGGGGATGCGACTGACCGCGGTAACTCGACTGTCACCTCGCTGTCGTACCTGCTCGGTATCGCGTCCGTGCTTAGGTGTGTTGCGCTCTGCTAGCTGAGTGACGTGAGGAAAGTTAGCTAACGCTAGCTAGCTAACATAAACAGTGGCGTCGGTTGACAGCGGTTACAAAACACACTAACATTAACTGTTACTAACTACATTTAATAACGTCACTGTAACCGTGGTGTGTTTGTAGATGTCACGCTGGGGATGTCAGTGATGTTTGTGAACCCGGTTAGCCGTCGGTGCTTATCACAACAGGGAATCTCGCCCCTTCTAATCTGACACAACAAGCGGGTTAGCTCAAAGATAGCGGTCTGATGCAAGTGGTTAGCTAACCCTCTGGTTAGTTAAGGGCTAACGACCTCAGATAAAACCGAAAGTAAATCAATGTTCGCATCGTGAACCTGTCCGTATCAGCATGAGAGGGTGAGACCATGTAGAGATATATCAGCATGAGAGGGTGAGACCATGTATAGATGTGATCAACATGAGGGTGAGACCATGTAGAGATATATCAGCATGAGAGGGTGAGACCATGTTGAGATGTGATCAACATGAAAGGGTGCGACCATGTTTAGATATATCAGCATG